GAGCTTTGCCTAGATCCTCAGATATGGGATAGATTGGAATGCCTTGTGCCACCAAGCACTTCATTATATTCTTGCGTGTTTCTGTCCACCTGTCAAATGGAAACCATACTGTCTGGAGCTATTGGGAGGATGAATGAGTTCCAGGATTGAATCGCTGTGAAAGGCTACAAAGAATAGCAATGGCTGCTGTTCTAGTCAGTAAGGAATGCTGGATTCTGGGTTCCATCTCCAATACTGTAGAAAAAAGTGGGGTGCACGGTGGCTATCAACTATCTGTTGCAGCTGTAACAAGAATAATTGAGAGCGAGGCTGGATGACTCAAGAGTTGAGCGTGCTGGCACAATCCTTTAATCTTTAATCCCAGCACTTGGGAGGCAGAGACAGTTAGATCTCTGTGAGTTCAAAGCCAGCCTGGTCTACAAAGTGAATTCCAGGACAGGCTCCAAAGCAATACAGAGAAACCCTGCCTCGAAGGGAAAAAGAAAAAGAAAAAAGAAAAAAGAAAAAAAGAAAAGAAAAGAAAAAGTCAGAGAAACAAACAAACAAAAAACAAAAACAAACCAGAATTTATTTTTTTAAAGTATGGCGGGACAGTGGTAGCACACATCTTTAGTCCCAGCATTCAGGAGGCAGAGGCAGGTGGGTCTCTGTGTGTTCAAGGCCAGCCTGGTCTACAGAGCGAGTTCCATGGCAGGCTCCAAAGCTACACAGAGAAACCCTGTCTGGGGAAAAAAAAAAAAAAGAGCCAGGTATGGCAATCCTAGCACCCTGAATGTTGACACAAGAGGATAGGGTTCAAGGCCACCTTGGGCTACAGGGCCAGATTCCAATTTAACAACAAATGACAAGAGTCCTGCTTGGGGACTAACAGATGAGGGGGGGAGAGGGTCAGACATAAGGACAACGTAAACAGACTTTATGATGGGCAGATGATAATGCTGTGAAGAGAAAACACTGGGCCCTTGGAGGGGACAGAGCCAGGCAGCTCTCAGAGCTTGCTGCCAGCCAGTCTAGCACAGTGGGTGAGTTCCAGGTTCAATGAGAGACCCTGTCTCAGAAAAAAGACAATAGATACCAACTTCTGCAAGATACCAGCATGCACAGGCAAGCACACACATATATACACATACCCATGTACATACACACACACAGCTAGGAAGAACTGTGGGTCCAAGCCAGGGAGGCCTGGGGTCGGCACATAGTTTAGATGAGGGTATGGGAGGTCCAGTGATATTCAAGTCCAAACAGAAGAGCAGGGAGGGCCATCAGAGGTTACATTCAGTGAGCTATTTAGTAAGTGTTGTCCACCCTGAGACCAGACCCTGCCAGAGATGAGGGACTTAGATCAGTGGTGAACATTTGCCTGGCATACTCCAGACTCTGGAATTCTTCCCTAGTACTGAGAACAACACCAAAAACAAACAAACACAAGCCAGGTGCACAGTAAGTGCCTGATAAACACTGAATGACCAGTAACAACAACAACAATATGATTAAAACCTCACCAAGCAGGGTGATGAACAACTGTAATTTCAGCACCCAGGAGAGGCAGGCAAATTCTCTGAGTTTAAGGCCACTCTGATCTACATAGTGAATTCAGGGCAGCCAGGATATGTCTTGATCCGGGTGTGCACTGGGGAGACTGGAGGATGGGAACAAGGCAATGAACCCAGACAGGGCATGAAAAGTGGGGCCGTGGGTCTATTTCAACCTGCAGACTGGTCAGATTTGAGGTGGCAGTGGCAGAGGAGGGGACATCATAGATTCATCAGCCTGAAGCTTTTCTCCTGTTACTCTGATCCTCCTCACCCTATCCCTCAAAACACTGGAATCAGGTTTTTTGTTCTGTTCTGTTTTTAAGGTTTTATTTTATTTTGTGTATATACGTGTTTGCCTGCATGTGTGTCTCTGCACTGCTTGACTGACTGGTGCCTGGGGAGGTTAGAAGAAGGTATTAGATCCCCTGGAAGTAGAGGTAACGATGTCTGTGAGCCACTGTGCTGGAAAGCAAACCTAGGTCCTCCAGAAGAGCAGCCAATGCTCTTAACCTCTGAGCATCTCTCCAGCCCCTTTGGTTTAGTTTAAGGCCCAGTCTATCTGTAGCACCAGTGGGCCTGGGATTCACAGCAACCCTCTTGCCTGTGTCTCCCAAGTGCTGGGTGACTACCGAGGGACACCACAGTTGGCTTTTAGAGTCTAGTTTTTTGTTTTTGTTTTTTGAGCCAGTAGTTTCTCATGTAGCCCTGGCTAACCTTTAACTTACTATGTATTTTAGTTGGGGTTCTCTGGAGTAACAGAACTAATAGAATGAATATTTATATGGGATCTATTAGTGTGGCTTACAGGCTGTGGTCCAGCTAGTCCAACAGTGGCTGTCTCCTGGCAGTCTAGGAATCCAGTAGTTGTTTTGTCCATGAGCTGGGTGTCTCAGCTGGTCTTCAGCAAATGTCAGAATCCCGAAGCAGGCTCTGATGCTAGTGAAGGGACAAACTTGTCAATGGCAGCAAGGACAAGCAGCCAAAGAACAAGAGCTCCCTCTCCCATGTCCTTCCTGTAGGCTGCTACCAGAAGGTGTGGCTAGATTTAAGATGTCCTCCTACCTGGAATGATCTAATCAACTAAAAAAAAAATTCCTAGTGCTGGGATGGTAGGCGTGAACCTCCATGCTTGGTTTAATCCCATTCATCAGACAGGAAAACCAAGTCCCAGGGAGGTTCTGCCTGCCAGCCAGCCTGTGGTGACAGTGAGCCCTGAGGCCTCACCATTTTTGGAGAAAAAAGCCCAAATTCCACTGGCGACTTGGACTGCCCCTTTCTCTTCTGTCTTCTGCCTCTCTGGGGTCTCTTGCTCAAACCCCAAGGGATTAAATCCTGAACTAAAGCTGGGCCATTTTACAGCATCGCTTTCCTAACATGGCCACTGGCCACTTTTCAATGTGCCCTATGATTTACTTTGTACCACACATTTTTTTCTTTTCTTTTTAAAAATTCACACACCAAGGCTTAAAGAGAAACTCTTACCATGCTTAGATTCTTGGCCATAGTCTTCATTCTACAAACCTCTTCACTTACTGAAATATAGAAAAAAGGGGTCTAGTGTAAGGACAGGAGGAAGGACAGACTTGAATGGAATTGTAAACTAAATATTTTTTAACCACTTTTAAGTAGAGGTAGAAAGATACAGATATGACAGTCAATGAATTGTACCCAGTGCATTTACAACACCATTATAATTGGCAAGGTGGAAATAAAGTTTTAAATTTCAAACCTGTGTAAGAAGCTGACTTTTCTCAAATAAAACATTTATTTTATTTTTACAGGATGTTTCTTCTTCTGTATGTTTAGTTGAGGGAAACGTTGTGTCTTTATTTTCACTGTTAACTTCCAGTTTTACCTTTGTCAGTTCTGCCTGTGTGTGTAGCTCTGCATGGTGATTGCTGTGGCTGTGGACACGGGTTACTGCCGTGTGGCTGCTGGGAATCTAACCCTGACCTGGGCAGAGTGGCCAGTGCTATTGTCCATTGTTCTTAACCACCGAGCCATCTCTCTGGCCCTAACTGCACACATTTTCTACAGCTCCCTTCTTTTTATTTTCGTCTCATGACATCGATCAGGATAGATCAGGGTAGCCACAAACACACAGCAATCCTCTCGCCTTGGCCTCAGGAGCCGCCATTATTGGCTGTGCACCATTGCAGTCAACTACGTCCCTCACTGAGCACCTGGGATTTATTAAGGTAAAAGGGAGGCCTGAAGCTCCTGGCGATTTATGCCTTCGATGCCTTGGAGGTAGGAAAATCGGGAGTTCAAGCCCATCCTAGGCTACACAGAAGTCAAATTCAGCCTGGGCTACTAAGACCCTGTTTCAGAGAGAAAAAAAGGGGGGGGGGAAGTGTTTTGAAAAATCACTAGATGTATCTGGGAACATAGAGTGCTTGTCCAGCATACACAAAACCCTGGGTTTTACCCCCCACACACACACACATCACAGAAAAGGAAATGATAGCTATATTAGTTATTCAAGCAGGAAGCCAATGTACATCATATGATTCTCTATAGATTGTGTTAAGGTCAGCACGTGTAACCAAAGAGCCCTGCAGTAGTTAGAGATGTTAGGTGGTCAAAGCGCTCTTCCTCTGTTTATTCTACATTTGTATTATGTTGTGCTTGCTGGTTTCTTTATTTAGTGCTGGTACTTGTGACCATCAGAGGACAACTTGCAAGAGTTGGTTCTCTGCTTCCAGCATGTCAGGTGGATAGGTTCGGCGGCAAGTGCCTTTACTCACTGAGCATTCTAGGTAACACTCCTCTATCTATCTATCTATCTATCTATCTATCTATCTATCTATCTATCTATCTATTTATTTTTGAGATCGGTTCTCACTGCATAGCCCTCCCTGGCTGGCCTGGAACTCTTTTGTGGCCAAGGATGGCCTCGGGTTTCATCTCTGCTTTCCAGAGTGCAGGGATTTTTATTACAGGAGGGCACAACCATGACACGTTCCGTTTTTCTTTGTGAGAAGGTGTCATGTAGTCCTGGCATGTTCCAAATGTGACAAAAAGAGGGATGACTTTGAACTCCTGATGAATGCTGGAGTTACAGGCTCGCGCTCCTTTGCCTGCCGGTTTATGTGCCAATGAAGCCAGACAGGGCCTTCGAGCATGTTAAGCAAGCGCTACACACACTGAGCCCTGACATTTCTCCTTCTCCCTCTGGCATCCCAGAAAGGCACTCTGCCCTCCTCTGATTCTTATTTTGCCTCAGGCTTCTCTGAGCCTCAGTTTCCCTCCTGAAAAGGAAACGGGAAAGTCCTGCTAGTGGAAATGGAGGTCGTTCAGGAGCATAGGGCGTCGCTCCGGTGGGAGCTCCACCCAGCTCTTTTCGACGGGACTGTGTCCCTGTCCCCCTGACACCTCGTCGGCACCGCCCAGCTCTGCGGCCGGCCGCCTGTCCGCAGGGCGGGTGACTGGGACGGGAGCGCGCGCGCGCGCCGGGTTGGGTTTGTTTCAGGCGCGGAAGCGCGCCGCGCTCTGGGGCTGTTTCCCCGGCACTTTCCTGTTACTTTCCAGCGGGGAGGACAGTTCCGGGGAGGGCCCTGCCCACGCCCGGTGCATAAAGGCCCAGCCCAGTTGGCCGCCAACGCCCGCCAGCCCAGACGCCGTCGGTTCCGCGCCACCATGAGAGGCATCCACCGTCGCCTCCTGATCGGTGAGACCTCGGGGTTGCGCGGGGCCGGGAGGCAGTTCGCGGGACGTGGCCAGGCGGGGCAGGGGCTGGCAAAGCTCACGCACCTGTATGCCCCAGAAGGTTCTCAGGGGTGCTGGTCCTGACTGCTGCCAATTTGGAGGCTAAGAGGGGGAAACTGAGGCACGGGGGCATATAAAGGGGGTGACAAAGCCGGCATGGTGACACGGCATTAGAGAGGCTGGGACAGGAGGGTCACCAGTTAGTTCCAGGTCAGCCTGGGCTGTGCAACAAGACCCAGTCTGAAAAGGACAAAAGAATAAGGAATTCAGACCTCGAGCTGGAGAGAGGTTAAGAGCTTTAAGACAGGACATGGTTGGTTTTCATCCAGCACCCACATGGTGACTCACTGGAGTCTGCAGCTTCAGGGGATCCAACACTCTTTTCTGGCTTCCACGGTCAGTGCGCAAAACGCACACATACAGCAGTTGGGAAAAAAGAAAGAAAGAAAGAAAAGAAAGAAAAGAAGAAAGAAAGAAAGAAAGAAAGAAAGAAAGAAATGCAGGATAAAGTAGACACTTTAGTGTGGAGCACGAGTCAGTGTGAGAACCACTCTTTCAATGAGGGTGGGAACCCTAGGATGTCCCGGGTTGTCTCAGTGCCAGGGACATTGCAAAGACCCCCTTGGGACCTGCCTGGGACTGAGCTGCTGCCTGAAGGGATCTTGTCACACTGAGTTTGAACTTGGACTTTCCCGCCCCACCCTGAGTGTCTCTAACCACTATCTGACTACTAAGTTACCTAAGTAACTTGATAACAAACAATGAAGAAATGGAACTTGGGGTGCAAACTGGGGTTACCCCAACCACAATGACTGGCCAGTGTGCCAGCAGCAGGTGGCAGCTCAGTGGCCTGTGGGCTCTGGAGCCAGAACTAGAGTCTCAGTGGGGCACAGTTGGTGGCAGACAGCTGCAGAGGCCTGCCTGGCTGTCACTGGGCTGGGTCACAGTGACTTTGGGCTTCACTTTACTCCTCTGTCAAATGGAACAAGACCAGCTGCATTTTATGATACTGTTTCAAGGGCTAAGAGTTTGTATGCAAACTTTCTGGTTCACAACTTGAATTAACTGAACACATGGGCGTGGTGTCTGCCTCCTGGTAGTGGAGGCAGGAGGATCAGAAATTCAAGGTCATTCCCTGCTGCATATGAGTTTGAGGCCATGGGAGATCTTGTCTCAAAAAGCAATGAACTAGCCTAGCTGGTGTCTGCAATTCCAGTGTAGAGGAGGCAGGAAGATCCTGGGAATTGGAAGTTTCCAGCACACACACACACACACACACACACACACACACACACACACACACACACGAGGAAAGAGAGAGAGAGAGAAATAGAGAGAGGTGGATACTGTTTTACCATTGTGATTATTATTTTTCTGGGTAAGATGCTGGAGGGCGGTCTCCAGTAGGAAGCACAAAGGTTACCCTACCCCACTCCTGGATTTCCTAAACCGGAGGAGTCCCGTGGCTCCAGTTTGAGCCTGGGAATTTGAACCAGATGTGTTTGGGAGCAGAAGAGAGCTGCTGTGCTCCTGTTTGGTTAACTTCCAAGTCTCCAGATGTAGGCAGTCTGGCTTTGGCTTCAGGGTAGTGGGGTAGAACCCAGCCCAGGGTGAGGAGACAAGAAACCCTCCCTGCCTGGGTGACACTCTGCTGCTCCAGGCTGACCCCAGTCCTTGCCTCCGGCTGCTGCTCTCAGTCTTTTCTGGGTTTCTTTGGAGACAAGATTTCATGGTAGTTAAGGATGACCTTGAACTTCTGATCCTCCTGCTTCCCCCTTTGAGGGCTGAGATCACAGGCTTGTGCAACTAGGCCTGACTTCATTTTTTTTTTTTGGTTTTGTTTTTGAGACAGGGTTTGGCACTGCAGCTGTAGCTCTGACAGGTTTCGTACTTGTGATAATCCCCCTACTTCTGTTTTGCTCGTTTTTGAGACAGGGTCTTGCTCTGTAGCCTTAGCTGTCATGGAGCTCCGTATGTACAACAGGCTGGACAGAGTTCCACCTGCCTCTTCCTTACCAATGCTGGGCTTGCATCACCATGCCCATCCTGGCACGGTTCTGAGTCTTAAAGTCACTTAAGGGGATGGCCAGATGGCTCCGTGGTTAAGAGCACTTGCTGTCTTGCAGAAAATGGGGATTCAGTTCCCCGCAGCCACGTAGTGGCTCACAACCATCTTTGACTCCAATTCTTGGAGCTCCACGGCCCTCTTCTGACCTCCCTAGGCACCAGGCAACATGCATGCAGACAAAGCATCCATAGACATAAAAAGAAATCAGTATTGTTTTTCAGAAAGTTACTTGACGGCTGGGAAGAGGGCTCTGTCAGTAAATGATCTATGGAATCTGTGATCTCAGTGTCGTAGCAGGGAGGCTGATAGAGCCCTGTGGCTGCACGTACTGGTACTATACTTTAGGAACTGTGGATTGCCTGGGGCCCACCCTGGAAACAATGTCATTTTTGTGGTCTGTCCTACAAAGAGGAACTGGGTTCTGATGGGGGTGGGGAAGAATTCCAGCCCTATGGCCTAAGAGGAGGAAGAAAGAGAAATTCTAACTTCAGGGGGACAGCTGCCTGGCTGGGGTGCCCCAGCGTCAGGTCACCCCAGCATCAAGGGGGTGAGTGTCGCTTGGAGCCTCTGGCCCTCTATTGGCCTCAGGGGAACCCAGTCAGACAAAGACTGAAGCCCTCTGAGAGACGCTGCCCCCCCCAACTCTGCTCTTCCTGGCTGACTCCAGGACCCCCTAAGAGCCAGGCATGCAGCCCATCCAGTGGTGGATTAATCATCCATAAAATGACTCCCTCCATCTCCCCCACCAACACTTCACCCTAGGGCTCCCTCCAGGACTCCTGTTAGGACCCTTTCCTTGAACTCTGTCCCCCAGGCTGTCCCCAGGCTCCCTGCTTCTCAGACACCTCCCCTCCCCACTTTCCATCTGCACACTCCACCCCCCTGTCCTGTACTGAGAGGGAAACAGGGCTTCACACCTTGCGAGGCCCACATCTTCACACATACTACACCGCACTCTTTCTCTTGATTTTTATTGTGAGGCAGGCTCTTGTGCCTATGGTCTGTAGTCTAGGCTGGGAACTTTCAATCCTCTTGCCTTGGCATCTCAAGTAGTTGTCATTATAGGACTTGGTTTCCAGTCTCTCTCGCATTTTATTTAGTTTGTGTGTATGATTGTTTTGCTTGCCTATATGTGTATGTGCCATGTGAATGCCTAGTAGCCTTGGAGACCAGAAGAAGGCACTGAAATCCCTGGAACTGGAGTTAGAGACAGTTGTGAACCAGAGTGAGCACTGGAAATGGAACCCTGTCTACTTGAAGAGCAGCCAGTACTCTTCTCTGCTGCCCGTCTCTCCAGATGCCATCTCTCTCTCTCTCTCTCTCTCTCTCTCTCTCTCTCTCTCTCTCTCTCTCTCTCTCTCTCTTTCTGGGGGCTGTTTTAGAGACAGGGTTTCTTTTTGTAGCCCTGGCTGTCCTGGAACTTGCTTTGTAGACCAGACTGGCCTGGAACTCACAGAGATCTGCCTGCCTTTGCCTCCCAAGTACTAGGATTAAAAACATGTGCCATCCATTGCCTGGGTCAATTTTTCATTTTATTTTTTGTGTGGGTGGATATGTGCACTCTCACATTCCATGACACACACATAGAGGCCAATTCTCTCCTCCCCTGTGGGTCCCGGCTGTTAATTCAGAAGTCAGGTTATGGGGCTTAGCAGCAAGTACCTTTATCTGAGTTTCCTTCTCTTCTCCCTCCTCCAACCACCACTCCCTTTCATTTTTTGGTCCTGGACCTTGTTTCAGTCAGGTTCCCCCTACATTGCCCAGGCTGCCCTTGAATTTTGTGTAACTTTTAACTTGAGAGCTTCCTGCCTCAGCCTCAGCGCTGGATTCCACACTCACTCCCTGATTCCCATTCTCTTTTGCTGCTTCTCTGTTTCTTATCCTTCTTTTCTCTCTGCCTCTGCCTTCTTGGATGTCTGTCTCTAGTGACTGCTCTGTTGCTTATGGCTTCCAGTTCTGCCTTGGTGGAATGACTGCCAACAACAGCAAGGTAATAAGCCTGTGTTCAACAGCTACCCACTCTCTGCCACAGCCACTTCCTGTGTGGGAGGAGCCCTCTCTGCTTGTCACCACCAGTTCATGAGGTTGGCAGTGGGTATGTGTGGTGTTGGAGTGTCAAAGCTGGAATAGGGCCTGGCAGACATAGTTCAAGCTGTCATTCTTTCCTAAAGAATGACAAGGATCTGGCCTGGTGGCACAGGCCTGTCCCAGCTCCTCAGGTCACTGGGGCAGAAGATTTGAAGTGCAAGCCCAGCCTGAACAACTTAGGAATGGAGTAAAAGGAGGGTTTGGGAATGAGACTCAGTAGTAGAGCACTTGCCTAGCATGCAAAGGCCTGGGTTTCATCCCAGCATTATGAGAGAAAACAACACAAAACATGATAGCTCTGACAAGGTGGAGGCTGAAGAGTCAGGAGTTCAAGGTCATCCTTAGCTTTGTAGCCAGTTTCAGGCCACCCTGGGCTACATGAGGTGGACAAGATGATTCAACTGCTGTATGTAAACCCGATGACCTAAATTTAATCCATGGGACTCCTTGTGGTGAAAAGAGAAACAACCTCCACATGGGTTGTAGTGGCGCACGCACGTACACACACACACACACACACACACACACACACACAAATGTGCTAGTTTTTTGTCAACTTGGCACAAGTTATATCATTTGGGAAGAGGGAACCTCAACTGCGAAAATCCCACAAGTTGGCCTGTAGGCAAGTCTGTGGACTATTTTCTTGATTACTAATTGATGTGAGGACCAGCCCTTTTTTGTGAGTTTATTTTTACACTTACTCTTTGTCTTGGTTTGATTTCTATGCTGTGATAAAAAATAACCCCTGGGCAGGTGATCCTAAGTTGTATAAAAGAGGAGGTTGAGCTGGGTGGTGTGGCGCATGCCTTTGATCCCAGCACTCGGGAGGCAGTGGCAGGTGGATCTCTGAGTTCAAGACTAGCCTGGTCTACACAGTGAATTCCGGGACAGTTACACAGAGAAACCCTGTCTTGAAAAACAAAAGAGCAGGCTGAGCAAGCCATGAGGAGCAAGCTAGTGAGTGTCGTTCCTCCAAGGTCTCTGCTTCTGTCTCCTGCCTTGACTTTCCCTGAAAATAGACTAATCTGTAAGCAAATAAACCCTTTCCTGCCCAGTTTGCTTTTGATCATGTTGTTTTATCACAGTATAGAGACCAAAGACAATGGTAAACCAGGCAGTGGTGGTGCATGCCTTTAATCCCAGCACTCAGAAGGCAGAGACAGGCAGATTTCTGTGAATTCAAGGCCAGCCTGGTCTACAGAGTGAGTTCCAGAGCTATAGAGACAGACTATGTCTCAAAAAAAAAAAAAAAAAAAAAAAGAGTTAATGCCTTGGCCATGTAGGGTTTGTCTCCATAAAGGGAGATCACCATCACCTCCATCTACAAGCACCTCCATTAGCAGGGACTATGGGCACCGATTCTCTGGCTGTAGGTGTCTGAGCCACAGGAAGCAACATCTGGGTTTTGTAATTTTTCTCTTTGTCTTGTTTTTGAGTCAGAATCTCATTGTGTAACTTAGGCTCTCCCTGGCTTTCTGTTTGTTTGTTTATTGTTTTAGAGACAGACTCTTATAGCCTAGGCTGGTCTTAACCTCACTATGTAGCCAAGGGTGACCTCAAACTTCTAATCCTCTTGTGCCCGCCCAATATTGGGATTACAGATATATACCCCATACTTAACTTTGTGAAATTTGTTGTTGCTGTTTGCTCGCTCGCTTGTTTACTTTTTTTTAAAGATCTATTTATTTGTTTTATGTATACAGCATTCTGTTTGCATGTTTGCCTGCACACCAAAAAAGGGCATCAAATCTCATTGTAGATAGTTGTGGACTGCCATGGGGGTGCTGGGAATTGAACTCATGACCTGTGGAAGAGCAGTGAGTGCTCTTAATGAAACATCTCCCCAGCCCGGGTTTTTTTTTTTTTTTTTTTTTTTTTTTTTTTTTTGAGACAGGGTCTCAGTATGTAATCCTGGGTTGGACTTGAGTTCCTAATTCTCCTGCCTCAACCTCCTGAGTGACTGAATTATAAGCATGTATCATTATCCCTGGCTACTGGGTCTGTTTTGAGTATTAACTACAGAGTCTCAGCCTGGACAGGGTCAACACCTGCTGCCCACAGATGCCCAGCTTTGGCCTCCTGTCTCTGCACAGCTGACCATCTTTTGCTTTGTTGCAGTGGTGTACATCCTACTGAGCCTGGCAGGAGCTCAGGCCCAGACGACTACGGGTAAGTCCATCAGACAGAGGGCTCCAAGGCCAGAGCTGGGGAGGGAATCCTGCTGCCAACCACAGCCTCAGGAGATGGGTGGGCAGCTGCTGGGGAAGTTTAAGGCCACCTGCAAACTTTCCTAAGATTCTGTTCTGAGTGGCAGCTCCCCTCTACTGGGCCAACTTCACTCTCTTACCAAAATATCTGTCCCCACAGGCTGTGCCCACTGGTGCCCAAATAACTCAGAATGTGTCAGTGCGAAAAGCTGTCAATGCAAGGCAGGCTTCGCCTCAAGTTATCCAGTTGGCAAAGAGCTCATCACCAACCCCTCATGGAGTTGTGAAGGTACAGGGGCTTGGAGACAGGCACATAGAGAAATGACAAGGTGTGGTCTGGGCCTAGGGTCTCAGATTCATCAAATACAGAAAAAGAAAGCAAGATGGGGGGGGGCATGAAGTGAGCAGGTAGGGCTTCCTGAGTGAGGGGGCCTAGGTTCTAGGAATCTGTGCCTGAATGTGGCTTTAGGACTGGGGAGGAAGCTGGCCTCACATTGGTATTGTCTATCCAGAGGACTGTGAAGAGCAGAGCTGGCCTGCTCGCAGCCTTCAGGAATAGCTAGCTCAAGCTTTTGCACAGCCTCATGAGCACAGCCCATAATTTTCCTCAAAGATGCTGAAACATCAACAGTTCCATGCTGCAGTCAGGTGGGGTGGGGGTCCCTCCTTTAGAGAACTTTGAGATTTGGGATGTGACCCTTATGCCTGTTGTGTTATAGACATCAACGAGTGTTTACAACAAAGTGTAACAATCACCTGTGGACCATTTGCCACGTGTCAGAACACAGAGGGGAGCTACTACTGCACTTGCAACGTGGGATATAAGCTCGCTTCTGGGGCAGAGTCTTTTGCTAACAAGAGTGAGAATACATGTGAAGGTAAGAGCCGCCGATACCTTCATCTCGCTCATGTCATCTTCAAGGTCACCAGCATAATCATACAGCAGCCACAAGGCAGGGCCCTGATGTGGGTTCTACTCCTGTGTCTGTTCTGGGCCATGTGTCACATCCACAAGCATAGATATTCGGGGAGGAGGGGACATTTGGGACCCCTGTGCCCAGGTCTCATCCTGATTCCTGAGTGTGACTCAGAAAGCCCTGTTTGGTTGGCTGTTGCGGTGCACGTCTGTCATCCAAACACTGGAGTTTCAGGCTAGAGTATGAGTCAGGGAATGAACATGTAGTGAGTTCCAGCACAGCCAGAGTTAATGTAGAAAGATTGAGAAAAAAAAAAAAAAAAAAAAAGCCAGGCTAATTGGTGCAGGCCCTTAATCCTAACACTCAGGAAGCAGAGGTAGGCAGATCTCTGTGAGTTCAAGGCCAGCCTGGTCTACAGAGTGAGTTCCAGAACAGCCACAGCCAGGGCTACAGAGAAATTCTGTCTCGAAAAATCAAACCAAAACAAACAAAAAGAATTCTCCATGCATCTTTTCCTGTGTCTTCTGTCTGTCTTAACAAAGGGGTGGGAAACACAGCATGGGAAAGGAATGAAGAATTCTCAACAGAAATCTTTAAGAGAACTTTATAAGGAAAACATAATTTTATTTACCCAGAATAGCAAACAGACATTACCAACCTATATTCACATGCTGTTGACAGCATTATAGTGGGTATTTGTTGTGTAAAGTTGTTTCCAACCTATTGGTTGTTTTCAGTAAAGATTACCACAACATACTCATACACACAAAGGCACACACTTGCATTATTCTGGGTCAGGAGCGTAGAAGAGAACATAGTGTAAGATTAAAAAAGCTATGTATGCATTAACTTAGGCTGTAAAGCTGCTGACATGGGCAGTCCAAGGCACAGCAGGGTTGCATACATTGTCTTTTAAATGTAAGTTAGACTTAGACAGTAGGACAGCAGTTTAAGCATATACTCTTAACTGATCTCAAGGCAGATTATTAACATGACAGCAAGATCTGAAAAAAGTTCATTCTCTTTAAGTGCAAGAGATGTTTTCAAAGCCATGTATGAGGCACACACCTTTAATCCCAGCATTTGGGAGGCAGAGACAGGCAGACCTCTATAAGTTTGAGGCCAGCCTGATCTACATAGTGAGTTCCAGGACAGCCAAGGCTACATAATGAGATCCTATCTTAAAGAGAAAGACACACACATACACACACGCACACATATAGGTAGATTTTCAGAAAAATATATCAATACATGAGGTGACACAAGAGTCCCCATGGACCCCAAGGAAGATGACAGAGAGTATCCATCCATCTTAGAGCCGGGACCCATTCAATGCCTAAGGCACTGGCTGAGCCATCACCTAGTGCTCCAGACTCCAAATGTACTGCTTGGAGGACACACCCACCTGGATCACACTCAAAGGATGGCAGGAGCCCTTGGCCTTATCCTCTGCTCCTTTTCTACTACTTGGTTTTGGAAGTTCAGAAGTTTCTTCTGCTCATCTGCATCTCATTCTCATAAGCCACCATCCTTCTGCCCATCTACATTTCATTTGCGTAAGCCAACATCCCTCTGCTCATCTGCATCTCATTTGCATAAATCATAAGGATGGCATTCAGAATACCCTGCCTCTACCACGAGCACGTTCCACTGCAGTGTCTGTCATCTTCCCAGCATCAGTGGACACTGGGGTGACACCTACCCCCTCCGAGATCCACACAGTTACTGCTGCGCCTGGAAACCTCCCTAAGCAGCCAGCTGCTGTACACCCATGGACACAGCCTGGAGACCCAAGAGAAAAGACACCCAAGGGTAGGCTACATTCTCTGCCATTGCTCCTGCTGGACGACAACACTTGGTGCCTGGACCCCCTTTTTGGTCAGCCTTGTCCAGTGCTCCACCCAATCATCATTCTAACTATCCCCAACAATTATGGTTCCTGGAAAACAGCATAGAATGGTGTGGCTAGATTGGGCAGGGTGACATCAACCCCACAGGTAATCAGAGTTGAAGGCAAACACTGTGTAAGAGAAGGTGTTATGGAGGGCCATTGCCCAGAACCCACCCTCACCTGACGATGTCAGCCCACAGCTGCCGGCCAAGCAACTCAGGACAAGGAATCAGGCTACACTCAGTGCATCTCCAGGTCTGTGACCATGACAGAAGAGAGGGCAGAAATGCCTATCATTCCTATTCCCGTGGACACAGCTCCCTTTCTGGGCACTGTGATATTGAAAAGCAGTCTTCAGCAGAATGCATGTTCTTACTTTAGACAAGTGACACCTGGCTGCACATCAGCTTGTCACCACACAGGCTAGTTCCCACGGTGTGGCACCCTGGCCTGTATAGTCTTATCCCTTCTTGCCCTGCCCCTTCCATTGAGCTTCTTTGTAGAAGGGGTGTGGCAAGTCTCAATCCTTCTCTACTGAACAGAGCAGAGATCTAGGGACCTAGTATGAGTGAGGCTGCATGGTCCTGAAGGTTCCTGGAATTCCACATAGAACTCTCCCAAGGGAACAGTACCCTGTGAGAATGGAGACAGAGGCTGCCATGCTATAGTCTCCCTTGCATTGGCTCTTCAGGGTCATATGTGGCCTTTGTTCCAAATCTTCAGGTTGGGATGTTGACAGCTGCCGCATTCCTATTGCTGGCAGCTAGGGAACCCTCTACTGCTTCCCTCCACATCTGGACAACAGAGTCAGAGCTACCACAGACTCTATATGATGCCTTCATATGAATTAGAAAGGGGTTTGCCCACAAGGAGGAGACTGGAATGTGCCAGATGCTTCTGTGTCATGAACCTAGCCTACTCTGAGTCTGAGCCTTCAACTTCAAGCACACAATCCCCTCTGTTTCTTCTCGTGAGATAGTTGAGGGCCAGAATCCCTGAGTCTATAGGGACACAGCATTTGCACCAATCCCCACGGCAGCTACACATGCAGGTGTCACCTGACCTCAAGCCCAGGCTGAGACCCGGAAGGTATGCACAGGTATACCCCCCAGAGGCAGCTGCAAGACTGGACAGGAGCTGGGAGGAGGTGAGGCAGGGCTGTAGCCTGAAGAGGGTGAAGTTCTGCAGAGTCTCAGGAGCTCCAAGAACTGTGAAGACTCCCCTGAGGATTCAGCTCCCCGCAACATGTTTCTGCAGGGTAGGGAGACCCCAGGATGTTCCGAGTCCAGCAGATCATGTGGTTCCCAGGGCTTGGCCCTTCCTCATCTGTGAGAACAGTATCACACCCTATTCTGAGGAGGGTTAGAAAGCAACAAGAGGCTTTGGTCAAGAAGTCCAGCCCCATGACTCAATCTGCTTCCTGGTTTTACCTCCTATAAACTGGGTCTCCTGATCCCTGCAGAGGTCACCATGAGGTGCTCTGCAGGTTAAGTAAAAGGTCACCAGGTGGCAACTGAATTTGAGGCAGTGAGAAGATGGGAAAGTGATGTAGCACATGGAGATGTATATGATTTGGGGCCAGGATGACCCTTTTGGTTTTGTTCCCAGATGTAAATGAATGCACCTCCGGGCAAAGCCACTGCCACCCATCCACCCATTGCATCAACAAGTTGGGCCACTATTGTTGCATCTGTCGCCAAGGCTGGAAACCTGTTCTTGGATCTCCCAATGGCCCGATCAGCACAATGTGCGAAGGTCCGGATGCCACGTTCCTAAGGACCCATAGTTCTTATTTAAGGTTTATTTTAGCCAGGTGTGGTGACACACACCTTTAATCACAGCACTTAGAAGGAAGGCAGGCAGGCAGAAGCAGGCTTATCTCTATGAGTTCCAGGGCCATGCATGTATAAAGACCCTGTTTTAAAATAAATATATATAATTTGTCTTGAGTGTACAAAAAATGTGCACCACATGGGTGTAGGTGCCTGAGGAAGTCAGAGGAGGCTGTCATATCCCCTGGAACTGAAGTCACAGATGATTTGTGAGCTACTTGATATGGATCCTGAACCAAAAGGTTAACTGAGGCATCTCATCAGTCCCATGTTTACTCAAGGGAATGAAAGAAGGCTCTGCTGGTCAGGCCTTAGTCTCTTGAGGTTGAATTTAAAAAGTTCTGAGATCCAGGAAAGGAGCTGGGATATGAAGGGGACTCCCCAGATGCCTTCGTAGTTTCTATTTTCACAAATACATTTGCCTTAGGCCCTGCACATTCCCTAAACCCATCATGTACCACTCACTGAGGTCACCAGGGATCAGTACCTCAGGCCAGGGACTGTAGCAATGCCAAGGAAGGGACTGGGACTGGGACCATGCAGGAAAGGACCTAACCCCCTTTTGTGTCCCCAGATATTGATGAGTGCAGCTCTGGGCAGCATCAGTGCCACAACTCCACCATTTGCATTAACGTCCCAGGCTCCTACAAATGCCACTGCCGCCCAGGTTGGAAGCCAATCTCTTGGTCCCTCTTGGGCCCAAAGAGCATCATATGCCAAGGTACCTGACCTAGCCACCCAGCATCTCCATGTCCTGCAAGTGCACTATGAGATTACTGAACCACAGTTCTGTCCCCACAGAGCCACATTTCCTGACATGGACACTGCTGCCCACAGCCCAGAGCCAGGTGAGTAGCCAGTGGGGACCAGGAGGCTGGATGCCTTCACAGTCTGTCCATCTCCTTTCAACTGTGCTGCTTCCCACCCATGACCCATCATTTCCCTTCCCAGAGTCTCTCTCAATTCTCCGTTGAAGTCCAGAAGCTGCTCAAAGACTTCCATCCAGACATGGCCAACTACACCATCCAGGTGAGGGAGAACTCTGGGGACCCCAGTGCAGCAGGGAACAAGCCACAGGCTGCAATGCAGACCAAAGTGTTCCATCCATCCAAGCAGTACTTGTGGTTTGAGGCACAGGGGCCTGGCATGTGCAGCCATGTGTGTGGCTGTGACACAAGGGTTGTAATGGCAATGACTGGAGTTAAGTAGAGTGTGGTGGCCTATGCTGCTTGGAGCCTGAAGAAGGATCTCAAGTCCCTGAGCTACTTAGCAAGGCCCTGTCAAAAAAGAAAGCAACAAAACAGGCCTGGGATAGCACAGTTGGTAGACTGCTTGCCCAACATGCAAAACAACCTGGGTCTAACCGCTAGCAGTGAATAAACGAGGTGTGGCTGTCACCCCAGAAGGTAGAGGCAGGAAGATCCAAAGCTCAAGGTCATAAACAAGTAATTTCCAGATTATAGGACTGGGGGTGTGGCTCAGTTGTAGAACATCAGCCTAGAATCCCCCAGTGAGGGGCTGGGAGCATGATTCAGCAGGCAGGGCCTTGGCAGTCACTGTGCTTGCTGGTGAATATGAGCTGTTATGACATCCAAGTGCACAGGGCCATAAAGCTCTTTTCTTATTTTACATCTCCATCCCAGTTCCCTCTCCCTCCCATGCCCCCTGACACCCCCGGTGTAAGTCTTAATGTATCCCTCCAGCTGGTTCCCCAAGCAACCCGTGTGGCTTTTCAGTGTCTGCTGATGGGAAGGGTGGTCTGGGTCCTTCATTCAGTCAGTTCCTGTGGCTCAAAACTTCAACAACTCTGTCACTTATCACCTCCAGAAACTCATTGATGCCATGGACCAGCTGTTGGAATCCCCCACAGATATAGAAACTCTAAACTCCACTGTCCGCCACCAAGTGGCCACCCAGTTGCTCAAGTATATGGAACAAACCCTTCGGACCTTGGCCAAATTCTTACCCAAAGGCCCCTTTACCTACACATCCCCTTCAAACACTGGTAAGGCTTCTTCCAGCCCCACCCCCAGGTACCGTCCTTGATTTCCCCAATCACCCACTGTCCCTGTCTCTTCAGAGCTGTCCTTAATGATCAAGGAGCAAGACAACAAAGATGTCACCACAATGTACTGCAGCCAAGATTGGGTGAAACTGGACTGGGCTATGACAGCTGGAGCCAAAAGCTCAGAAAACGGTAGGGTCCAGGGGAACCAGAGTGAGGTCTGGGATGCGGGACAGGCAGACACCAGCCCATGGGAGGACCCTAACAGCGTGAGGTGGGATGTCCCTTCTGGAGGGTGGCATACAGAGGAAGGATGGGAGGCAAGCCTGCATGTCTGCCCCCAGGCCTCTCCTTGGTGGGCATGTTATCCAGTCCAAACATGCAGAAGCTGTTAGCCAATGCCTCCATGAGCCTGTACCAGATCCGGGATATATTGGAAGAGCGCTTCGAAAGTCCAGTTCTAAATGTTTCACTCAAGCTAGTCTCAAACGTCAATTCCATCTTTCTGACCAACACGGACACTAAGAAGCTCGCCTCAAACATCACATTCAACTTCTCCTATCCTGTGAGTCCTTCAACAGAAGGGAGTCAGGGAGGGGGATACCCTGCTGTTCATGCGCTAACCAAAGTCAAGGTGGCCCTTCTTGACCCACACAGAAGGAGAACAACTCCCCAGTGTCCTGACTCCTTCCCTCCAACATATACACACAAATAAATAACTCCATCAAAAATACACAAAAAATTAATTAAAATTACAACTGGATATGGTGACACATGCCTTTAATTGTAGCACTTGGGAGGGTCTCTGAGGTTAGCCTGGTCTAGAGTTTCAGGATAGAACTCCATAGAGACGCTGTCTTCCAGCTGCTGGAGGGCAGGAGCTTCAAGTTCAAGGCCTGCCTGAACTAGAATGTATTTAAGGCCAGCCTGGGCAAGGCCTTGTCTTCAAACTCAGTGGTACATACTTGCTTAGAATTCAGAAAAGGCCTAGGTTCAGCCTCTAGTACTGCTGAATTAAATGAACAAATAACTAGCAGGTAAAGCTAGTAGTTGACTCAATGGTAGACTGTTTGCCTGTCATGGTAAGGTCCAGGGTTTGATTCTCAGTACCATGAAACATTAAAAAAAAAAACAAAAAACAAACAAACAAAAAAAAAACATAGTCTGAGCCTGCAAGATGGTTCAGCAGGCAAAGGTGCTTTCCACCAAGCCTAATTTAATTTCTGGCCTGAGCTCCATCTCCAAACCCTATACTGTAGGAGTAAAACAAGTACAGCCCCCATCAATGTAATTCTAAAACGGATTTTATGTCAACGGGTGCTTTGCCTGCATGTATGTCTGTGCATTACCTGTATGCCTGGTCCCATGGAGGTCAGAAGAAGGCACCATTCCTATAGACAGTTGTGAGCCACTGTGTGGGTCCTGGGAATTGAATCTGGGTCTTCTGGAACAACCGGTGCTCTTATGATCCACCCATGTCTTGTGAATGGTTTAAAGGCGTGTGTCACAGGCCCGGCAGTGGAGCACAATCCCAGCACTTGGGAGGCAAGCAGATTGCAGAGTTTGAGGCCAGCCTGGTCTACAGAGAGTCCCAGGATAGCCAGGGCTACCCAGAGAAACCCTGTCTTGACAAAAAATAATAAAAATAAATAAATAAAAGGTGTCACATCTGGCTATATACATGTTAACTTTAAAAGTTAAAAACAGTCTAGGCTGGTGATACAATTCATTTGGTAGAATATTTGTCTAGCATGCATGAAGTCCTAGATGCAAAGATGAAAGTTCTACATAAAATGTAATCCAAACACTCATGAGGTAGAAGAAGATAAAAGTCAGTGTCATCCTCAATCACACAGTGAGTTTGAGAGCAACCTAGAAATGTATGACTTTTAAGTTGATAGATACATGATATAGATAGGTAGATGAATATAGATAGCCCCTGAAATACATTCAATAAACTTAATTTTTGTTTTTAAGTTACAATCTGTAAGCAACCATTCCCCACTAATTCTTGTAATTTCTTGGGCATTTATTAACTGTTAACTGCTTGTGATTTGTCCTATCATTCCATTGCTGGCTCCCCATGCTCTCTGTGCAGAGTAGACATATTTATGTGACCACACGCAAGGTCCCCTGCTTACCCTCAGACCTTTAGTGTGTTCTGGACTACCTAATCACCTATCTGCCCATAGGTGTTGTCAACAAAGGCACGTCAAGACCTGATATGTGCCTTTTGGGACACTGATGCCGATGGGAATGGGCTCTGGTCCACTGACGGCTGCTCAATGAACGGCACTCTCTGCCACTGCAACCACCTGAGCAGCTTTGCCATCCTGATGGCCCAGTACCACGTGCAGGTAAGTGGTAAGCCCTGAAACCACAGGTATCCGTGCCTGACTAGGCAGGACCACAGGCTCCAGTCAAGAGTGCACCCCACTGGTTGTTCATGTAGGTCCCTTTGGATAGCCCCATGCCCTGCTTCTCAGTCCCTCCCCTCAAGTCCTCTGTGACCCAGTATCTGGTGGATGCTGGCCTCCGCCTCAGTCCCTGCACAAATGTGAGGTACTGCTAAAAATGCACCAGTTCAGGCAGATGAGATGGGCCAGTAAGTAAAGGTAGGCAGCCAGCCCTAATAACCTGAGTTTCATCTCCAGAGACCACATGCATTAGCAAATGCTTCACCCCATACACACAAATACATAAATGTGATTTAAAAAAAAAAAAAAGAGGCACTGTATAGAATTATCCCAAGTATAGTTTTCTGAACATGGCCAGAACCTGGGTTCATGGTCAGCTGGAATTATTAGCCAGGCAGGGTTGGCCCAGTGGTCAAAGATAGGCATGTGGGACCTCTGGCTTCTCATGGTTACTAAGCTGGGAGTTCCGAGTGTAGGAAAAGATGAGCCCACCTCACAACCCCAGGTGTGAGGGACCACTCATCCTGAGCTGCCTGCCCCTAGGATCGGAGACTGGAATTGATCACCAAGGTGGGGCTGTCGCTTTCGCTGCTGTGCCTGCTGCTGTGTATCCTGACCTTCCTGCTGGTGAAGCCCATCCAGAGCTCTCGAACCGTGGTGCACCTGCACCTGTGCATATGCCTTTTCCTGGGCTCTGTCATATTCCTGGTGGGCATCGAGAATGAAGGGGGTGAGGTATGTTCCTGTCCTGGCCTCACTAGGGCTCAGAGCTGAGACCTAGGAGGGTAGCCTGGTCTGTCCTGGGGCTCAGTGTGGAAGGTGCCCCATCAGGCTCTGATTGAGTCCAGCTGCTAGCTGTGTTAGCCTTGGAGGCCATTGGTCCTAGCCTGCACTGACAGCCCCCCCCCCACACCTACAGGTGAGCCTGCGCTGCCGCCTGGTGGCAATGATGCTACACTACATCTTCCTGGCGGCCTTCTGCTGGATGGCCCTGGAAGGCGTGGAGCTATACTTCCTTGTGGTGCGCGTGTTCCAGGGCCAGGGCCTGAGTACACAATGGCGCTGCCTGTTTGCTTATGGGGTTCCCTTCCTCATCGTAGCCATCTCAGCAGCTGCCAAAATGGAAGGATATGGGCAACAAACATAGTGAGTATGAGGAGGTGGGGCTGGAGTGGAGTGCTGGGACTTGGCCGGCAAGGCCACTGACCAGGCACCTTCTCTCCCAGCTGCTGGCTGAACCATAAGGAGGGGGGCTTTCTCTGGAGCTTTGTGGGACCCCTGGCCTTCATCATTTTCGTAAGTACTCTGGGTCCTGGAGGCCTGAGTAGCAAGACTACTAAACTCTTGTAGCCCTCTAACCCCTGATCCATGTCCCCTCAGTGTAACTCTGCCATTTTCGTGATTACTGTCTGGAAGCTCACAACAAAATTTTCTGAAATCAACCCAAACATGAAGAAATTAAGGAAGGCACGGTGAGAAGGACAGGGGGAAGTCTGGCAGGGCCTGAGCAGGGGAGTTGGGAGAGCTGGGGACAGACTGTTAGCTGCAACCGCCTGCCCCACAGGGTGCTGACCATCACAGCCATTGCCCAGCTCATCGTACTGGGCTGTACCTGGGTCTTCGGCCTGTTCCTCTTCGACCCCCACAGCATGTGGCTGTCCTACATCTTCACAGTGCTTAACTGCCTGCAGGGCCTCTTCCTCTACTTGATGCTCTGCCTGTTCAATAGGAAGGTAGGCAGACCAGAGCCAGAGCTGGCTGTGGGAAAAGCTTGGGATGAAGGGAGATAGGGCCAGGCCTGATTCCCACAACCAGCTTCCTTCCCGCCCCTAACCTGGTGCCTTGGGCTCACAGGTGAGGGAAGAGTACCGGAAGTGGGCCTGCATGGTTGCTGGCAACAAGTACTCAGAGTTCAGCTCTTCCACAACAGGCACTGGCACCAGCCAGAGTCAAACACGGGTAAGGAGTTGGCCTGGGGCAGGACTGGGAGGACACTCCTTCCTGAGAGCTCAGCCTCAAGGGCTCTTTTCTCTGCAGGCGCTCAGGCCCTCAGAATCAGGGATGTGAAGGCACATACTCAAAGCTGTCACTCTTCTGTCTTTTGTTCCTGCCATCTTCCCACCTTTGGCCCCATTTTTGATAAAGAAGGAATCTACACCTGGTGGTGAGCCCTGCAACAGGGTAAAGGGGCCACTGGTCCTGCTTCTGGTTGTCTCTGCACCATCACAGCTACTGCCTACCACAGAAACAGAAGCCAGCCAGCAGTGTCTGTAGCCCACTGCCCTGGTACATGAAACAGGCAGTCCTAGGGACAGTGCAGATCCCTTGACCTGGGCTCTTTGCAACTGTCTTTGGCACGTAAGAGGCCAGGGTGCTGGGTTCAACTTCCTTAAGCTAAGACTGATGCTATGTCAGCCACCAATGATCCTGCCTGCTGCCAAAGCTCACGGTACAGAGGCCCAGCTGCCCCACATCCAGGGCAGAAGGGTCTCACTGTTATAAAGGTTATATATTTTGTAATATTTTTTTAAACCTGTAAACCTCTCAATGTTGACACATAAAATTAAATATGCTGATGGGAAAAAAAAGGTGGCATGCTTGTTGGTGGACATGACTGCTGGTTTGGCCTCTGAGTTCATGAAATGCTGACCAAGAGAAGAAAGATAGGTCTGGAGCCAGACATCCACAGTAAAAGTTTATTTTTTACACAGCTACAGCTTTGGAACAATATAAAAAGATACACCCATTTGTCATGTAGGAAGAGAATCTGAAGCAGCAGGTGGGAAAGAGGGCCATGGTGCACTGGCTACATATCTGGTTACCGGCTCTGTTCAACTGTAAAGACAGCAGAGAGTAGGGCAGTGAGGGAGAAGGGCCTTTGCTCCAGAAGCCCAGCTCTTTTGTGCCCAGAATGGCCTTAGCCACTTACTATATGTGGAGATATCTATTTCTTCTGGAAGCTCTGCCACATTAACTTCAAACCGGTCTTGAACGTCATTGAGAATTTTGGCATCGTTTTCATCAGATACAAAAGTGACAGCCAGGCCTTTGGTACCAAAACGACCAGCACGAGCCACCTACAGGGAGATGGGGTCAGGAGATGGGTACCCCTCAGAATCTGAGGAAGGGCAGGGCCCTGATCAACCCACCCAGGGAAGGGGCACTCACTCGGTGAAGGTAGGTATCCGAGTCCTCTGGCATGTCATAGTTAAAGACAATGTTGACTCGCTCAATGTCCATACCTCTGCCAAACAGATTGGTAGCCACCAGGATGCGCCGCTGGAAGTCCTTGAACTGCTGGTAGCGTGACAGGCTAGGGTGGGAGGCAAACGGAGGCATCAAACACAGGTCCTAGGGGCACGCTTGGCCACTGTGGACATCACACACTCACCGCTCCTCCTGGGGCATGCCTCGGTGAATAGCAATGGCTGGGAAGTTCTGTTCCACTAGGAGCTGGGCCAGGGCCATGCAACGTTGCACAGACTTGACAAAGATTACCACCTGAAGGAGAATGCTAGTTAGGCCCATGAAGAAAGAATCACCCACAGGCACTCATCTTGATGTGGGCAAGCAGGGGCATCACCTGGTTAAATTCTAGGACGTCAAGGAGGTCAAAGAGCTTCCGGTTCTTCTCACTATCCTTGAGTTTGACGTAGTACTGCTGGAGCCCGTGCAGTGTGAGCTTGGTCTCGTCGTCCACAAACACCTCCATGGGCTGTGTGGGAAGGGAAGCAGGAAGGGGCGAGCAGGGCTCACTTCTGGGTGTCTCATGTGCCTGGAACCTTCCAGGGAGCAGCTCCTCTGTAGTGATGATTCCCAGAGGGCCTGTTGCACCCAACCTCAGTAAACAATTCTCTCCCAAAAGCCAGATGTAAGCTCTGCTCTGGCGCAGGTGTAACCACACTCAGCTCCCAGTTTGACAAACCAGGGGACGTAAGGAGGCTGCGCCGGCCTCCCTGTATCCTCCAGGCCATGAGAGCAGTATGGGTGTCGTGGAGTGGCCCAGGCCCTCAGGGAGGGTCAGAGCTGCTGCGCTGAGGTGTTGGCCACGGTGGGCAGGCGGCCAGCTGGGGTGTCACCCTACTCACATCCTGCATGAACTTCCTGCAGACCGGCCGGATCTCCTTGCTCAGGGTGGCACTGAACATCATGCACTGCTTCTCATGGGGTGTCAGACGAAAGATCTCTTGCACGTCCCGACGCATGTCTGGATGGGATGCCAACATACAGCATGCCTCAGTGTCTTGTCTGACTGAGCAGACCCACACCAGAGAGGAACCAGCCCTCCCCAACCTGGGCCAGAAAATACTGGCACCATGGCCACAGTGGAGTGGGCCCAGGGGTGTTCCCGCTGCCTGAGAGGCTGGGCTCGGATGGGCGGGCGGGCGTGCGGGAGCGCAGGCATGGGAGGAGCTGCGGTCCACTTACTCGCTGCCAGCATGGAGCGGCCCTGCCAGTGCGCCTTGAGCCATGCTTCGGGAAAGGGAGCCTGAGGCAGAGACAGCCACTGGCGTGAGAGCTGCAGCTGCTTCCAGGACACATGCCCATCTCTCCCAGTCCCTGATTGGTGGCAGAAGCCACCCTACTCCTCCAGATTCCCTGGGTGTGCCTACATGTCCTAAAGGGATGGCAGCTCATGGGGCCTATGGTCCCACTCAACTTGGCCTCAGAAGCAGCACATACTGTCAACACTGGGAATCCTTTAGGTTTCTCCCAGGAGCCCTGACTTCTGGCCACCCATGTGACCCACTAAGAGCCACTGCCTACCCCATCCATCAGGCCCCCTAGAAAACTGCTGTGACTCTGTGACTCCTGAGTGGGGAACCAGCTGGGCAGGCCAGTGGGATGCTCACCCAGCTGTTCAAGCATCTTGTCACATTCATCTAGCACAAAGTGCTTTACATTCCTCAGGTTTAGACTCCTGCTCCGTACAAGTGCCAGGATCCGGCCTGGTGTCCCCACCACAACATGAGGACAGTTCTTCTTCAACACATCTTCATCCTTTTTAATGGAGAGGCCCCCAAAGAACACAGATACCTATGGGGACAGAAAGGGAGCTGTTTCCATCCATCTGGGAACAGTGATCTTTACGACAGCCCCCCCCCCCCCATCCCGAGGACACCTAGCACACCAGTCCCATTCAGAACCCAGGTGAGCCTAAAGAGCAGGGGCAAGTCTGATGAGAAGAGGCACCTGGATCAGCACAAGCCTGTGGGGACTGGGCATTATTCATCAGGCTTTTAAGAAACACAAGTTACTACTACTAACCTCAAGCTTGATAAATGCCGCTTGGGCTGGAGCTGAGGCCCAACACAGCACACGAGGAGGCTTACCTTGACACTGGGCATGTACTTAGAGAAGCGCTCATACTCCTTGCTGATCTGGAAGGCCAGCTCCCTTGTATGGCACATGACCAGTACAGATACCTGGAGAGTAGGCAAAAAACATTCTTTCCCAGAATCCACACCTACCCACAGTGTACCTATTATTATGATAGTTCCATCTACACAAGTCACTTGAAGGCCCAAACATCTCCACCTTCTCCTTAAACCTATCTCCTCCCCAAATTCTCTCATAGCTACTAAAGCCTGTCTCCCTCAAGAGGCCAGGAACAGAGAATGGTAGCACAGACCCTAGACAAAAGGGCCAGTTATCCCATGCCGCAAGTCTTCTCACCCACCCACAGCATAGCCCTTACCACACTTGTGCCATGTCCTGAAAAGAGAAGCACCCACCCACCCAAGGATACAAACCAAAGCCTCACACATGCTATTCGAGAGCTCTACCACACAGAGCCACACTACAGCCCACCACACACGGATATTTGTTAAACAGGGTCTTCTTATGTATGGCCTAGAACTCTCAATCCTGCCTTAGCTTCCTATCCCGGATTCATACATAACTCTTAAGACTCTAAAACTGATCTAATGATGGTGTTAGAACATCTGCATAACAAATCTGCAGTAACAGTGAAGACTGCAATCAGTATAGTTTCAATTCCTAGCTTATAGTCAAAAGCTCAGAAAGAGATTATGAAAGCAGTTTCATACCCAAGGCTGCTCTGCCACATGGGACCCATCCCAGAAAGGAGCCCGCATCTACCTGGCCATTGATGGGTTCGATCTGCTGCAGGGTGGCCAGCACAAACACAGCTGTCTTGCCCATCCCAGACTTGGCCTGGCACAGGACATCCATACCCAGAATGGCCTGGGGAATACACTCATGTTGGACTGAGGAAGAAAAAAGTGTATGAGTAAGAGACAGGATGTTGCCTCTCTGTACACTCCTCTGTCATTGGAGGTCAGGAGGGTCAGATCCCAGTCATGTGCTTGCATAGGGGCTGCTGATATAACTGACTCACAGGGAGGGCATAGTTAAGGGTGACACCAGGTACCATACCCTCTGAAGGATGCTCAAAGCCACAGTCAACTATGGCTCTCAGGAGCTCTGGCTTCAGCAGAAAGTCCCGGAAACCAGAACTGTGAATGGAGACATAAGATCCTTTGACATCTTTCTTCGGGGGAGCTGGAGTGCTCTCCTGAGGTGCTTGGGGCTCTTCATCTTCATCATAATCCAAAAGCTCATTTTCCACATCTTGTTCTGCCATTGCACTGAGAACAGACGACAAAGGAAGGTGGAGATGCACCTGAGATGCATGCAGGAAAACCCACTTGGCAGAGAAGGCAGAGAAGGGGGTTGGCAGGGGTAAACCCTGTAAGCAGGTAAAGCTCAGTGGTGTACCTGCATACCACCCCCCCCCACTTCAGCCTACAGTCCCTTACCACTGTCTTCCCAGCAACCTCTCACCTGCTACACACACACTCTCCCATCCAAAGCCACCACCCTCATGCATCCTAAGGTCTTCCCATGGGGCTCAGTGACAGAACACTTAGCTAGCAGGTTCTGTCCCCAACACCACAGATAAATCACACTCTTCACTGTAGACTTCCCTGCCTGGCCCCTGCTTACTTCCCTCTGCTTCATCTGAGCAGACCATGGAACCTCCACCCCAACGATTCCCTGTTCCCAAGTCTCTGCACACTTTTTCTTTTGAAACAGGACCTCACTATATTATCCTGGCTGCCTGAAACTTGCTATGAGTCTGGCCTCGGAAGTTATAGAGATATGACTCCCAAGGGTTGGAATTACAGGTGTGGTCCACCTCAGCTTTTTAAAAAACAAAAACAACAACAACCCCCCCCCCACAGTACTGGGGTGTGTGGAATGCTTTATAAGCATTCCACCAACTGATAAAAAACTAAAAAGACCTTACTAGGGCTGGAGAGATGGCTCAGAGATTAAGAGCATTAACTGCTTTTCTAGATGTCCTGAGTTCAATTCCCAACAACCACATGGTGGCTCACAGCCATCTACAATAAGATTTAATGCCCTTTTCTGGTGTGCAGGCAAACATGCAGACAGAACTCTGTATACATAATAATCTTAAAAACAAAACAAAAATCAGGGCAGGGGTGGCATACACCTTTAATCCCAGCACTCAGGAGGCTGAGGAAAGTAGATCTCTGAGTTTGAGACTACAGAGTGAGTTCCAGAACAGGCTAGGCTCCCTTCCAGGACAGGCTCCAAA